GCAAATGAAACCCTTGAAATGTTGTCCTTTGAACTGCTAGAGGGGTGTATGACTGAGGAAGGGACTTAAGACTGTATAGTTTCATGAGTTTAAAATGTGATCTGTCATAAAGGTCTGTGATTCAGAGAGAGAAAGGAAAAATGTATCCACCACTATCTACTTCAGAGGGGTAAGTAACCATGTTAGTAAAATCATTTTTCTCTGAAAAATGACAGTTCCTGGTTAATGAATATAAGGATAAACTGAGTTTTAGAAAAAAATCAACAATTTCTAAACAGACAAGGGTGAGATTCATTTATAGCTTTCTTAGAAGCTATACTTAGTTTACAGCTCAGCTTACAACAAGCAAGAAGTATTGCAGTTAATAGGATCTGTCCTGGCCAACATTTTCCCTCTCCATCTTACCCTGCTATTTGATTCTGACTGACACAGCTAAAATTATAGTGAAAGCAGAGTCTGTAAGATCAGGCTTTATTGTCTGAAAGCAGAACTGAATGGTATTCATCTAACACTCAAAGTGGGTGAGTGCTGAGGGGAAAGCTGCTTACAAAAATACGTAATTTAGCGTTAAAATCAACTACTGTACTGGAGAGCCTGCATTATAAATACCTTGGTCACTATAGACAATCCTGGAATTTATGGAACAGCTAGCATTGCTAACGTGATAATTAACTGAAATGGTACAAAGTGATTCCCATGATGTTGCAGAAAGAAATCAGAACAGAATCTGTTGAGAGAATAAAGGCCTTTATATCAGAATAAAATATGACCCACTGATTAAGGGTTATCAGTAGGGACCAGTAAATACCCTGGAATGTCTAACCATCTTGAAACTCTACCAGTGCCTGTAGCCAACATTTACAAGGTTCCAAAAAAATAGCTACTTGCATGCCTGGCATCCATGAAGTTCTTGTAATTTCTCATTCCAGGTAAAGTATTATGTGAAAGGCCATTTCTGTAGCTAGCCTTGATAAATCCGAGAGCTGTGAAGTATCTCCTTAAACAATGCCTATCTCCTATGGAAAATGTGAAATTAACTTTCTGCTGTGTTTTCATTTTCTCATTTGAGGAGAAGTTTCCTAGCTTATTCTTTCGCAGGTGTAGGTGGTGTCTGTGTTTGTTTCTGAGGAGCTGATTTCTGGCCAGATTGCTGAACTAGACTCAGGCCCTAATCCACAGTGCAGAATATGGCCCCTTTTAAGATATAATTCTAAGGAATTTCCTCTGGCCAAGGGGGCTGTCCCTACTGTAACACGAACCTTTCTTCTCCCAGTGCAAGCAATGTCCTGCTTTAAAAACCTGCAATGGTCCTGCTGGGAAGAGCATCTTTTTGATCCATCAAAGGCTGCATTTCAGCCAGATATGAAGAAAACACCATGAATATATGCTGAAGGTCAGTATTGTACCAGTGCTGACATTATTTCAGTCATACGCACAGTGCTAACGTTTTCTTCTATTGGTCTGACAGATTCTTTCTCCTGGGAAAGAGCTGGACAGGAGAATGTTGACCCCATCATTTCCATGTGTGGCTGTGGAAGCTCTGCTATGGTACCTAGAGTGTTTTCCACTGGATCAGTACAGCACTCACTGAATCAATCTACAGGCATCTGCAAAATGTAAGAAGGTCTAAGAGGGGCAAGGAAAGAAACCAAGCCTTTCCTTTAAGGTGCCGTCTGAGGCTTAGGAGATGTGGGAGATTGGTCTGGGTGACAAATCTTTACAGTTGATTTAGCTTCAGCATTACTCCATCTCTCTGTAGGTCTTTCTCTGTCCTCTGCTCATGTTGCCCCTTTGTTTTCTCTGTCTAGGATATATGTGTCATGGGGCATTATTACATTTCTCTCTGTGGTCTTATAGGGCCTGGTACTGTGGCAGATCACTCTGGATACTTCCAGTAACATCAATAAGAAAAGCAACTGTGATAGGTTATTTGGCATATGATTTTGAGAGAGAAATATGTACAAGAGATTCTAAAAATAACTCATTGCTTTCTTTATAAGCACTGCAATATCAATGATAACAACTCTTCTTCCAGAGAACACCCTCAGTTCTTAGGACTGAACTCTCAGGACATTCTTGTAATAATGGCAATAACTTTACACTGTTATGAAGGATGACGCAATTATTGTCCTATTTTATGTATTTTGGACCAAAAAATTTAACTACCCATCATCAGCTCCGAGCTGCCTCTTTGCTGTAAGGTAATCTAATACTATAGATTACCTGGGCATCAGGTGAGCATCACATTTTCTGCCTGGAAAATGTGTTGCTTTGGCAAAATTAAACTGTGGATTTATAGTATAGGCATGTTTACAAAGACCTAGATCTGTATATATCTGTAAATACACTAAACATGTATTTCTCATTTCAAAACTTCATAATAGAAATTACTAAAAAGGTAATTCAGGGAATATATCTATTATAGCAATACATACACATGTGCATTCATGAATATGTAAAAAGGACTTTCTGTCATGTGTTCAGAAATGCAAGGAATATTACACAGATGGAGAGGCTGATTTATTCTTTTTGGAGCAACTTTAAGGCAGTCTGTATTTCCTCTCCTCTGCTGTTCAGAAACAATGCCAAACAAGAAGTTCAAGAAGATCTATATTAAACTGCAGCTATTGATCTGTCTCCTCTCTGGACTTGACCCAGGTTGAACACATCTTACATAATTCAATTATTTTAAGACCTAACATCCTGGTGTGCGCAAATGGATGTCCCCCATATCAGGCCCAGGAGTGAAGAGAATACGAGGTTTATGCTTAAGTTTCAGCATATTCCTAAGTGCTTTGCTGAATAAGGCTTTGCCCCAGCACGTGCTTATTTCTGATTCAAGGGCTCAATCTATTTAATGGACCTTTAGATAAACGCAATAAAAACAACAGAGGCATCCCTCACCTCTCCTCCCAAAGACCTCAAAAAAGCCCTCATTATCAAGATAAGAACAAGATTTATTTCAGCGGAATCAAAAGCGAAGCTTGTGAGAGCCTGTGTAACATGTGTCCATGGCACTAAGTACCCAGCAGTGTCAGTGCCCTGGGCTCTGCTCACCGGTCTTAAACCCTCATAAGATCCAAATTCACATATGTGGAGCTGGCTAAGTGTAGAATCAGCATATTTGTGACTTGGTCTCAATTTACTATGAGTATACTTTAAGTGTACAGTTGAGAATCCTCATAATTTCTACAGGCTTTTCCTCAAAAAGTTCTTTGGTTTTGTTTTGGGTTGTTTGTTCTGTTGTTTTGTTTTTTTACCCAAGAAGGCAGGGAGGATGTTAACATTTGTTGTTTGTTTCATGTCTCGGCTCCGTCTCTTTGGGACATACATACACTGTCCCCTTAACTATTTGGGGTACTATGGCCCAACTCTGGGCTACCTACCAGAACAGAATCTCATGATGTTGCAGCACAAACGGCAGGTACCAGCACTGTGCTATGATTTAGTCATTACTTAGTCTTAGAATCATAGCATTTTTTAGGTTGGAAAAGACCCTTAAGATCATAGAGTCCAACCATTAACTCAGCATTGCCAAGTCCACCGCTAAACCGTGTCCCTAAGGGCCACATCTACACATCTTTTAAATACCTCCAGGGTTCATGACTCCATTGTTAGTGACTCCTCCAATCAGCATCAAGAAAGGGACTGACCTCCAAGGCCTGAGGTGTGAGTCTTTGGTGGGTCTGTAGGGGGCTGATGGAGCCAGGAGTGCAGCTGGAAATGGAGTTCTTGTGGGGTTAATTTTGCAAGGGTTTCTATTTCTAGGCCATAGAAATACAGACCAGCTGCAAAGCATGTCTGAGGGATTCAGAAAGTGATGCTACCTTCTCTCTCCCATGAATCTGGAGAGTCAGCATAAATCAGCTCCTCTGTTTCCACAGAGCACTTCTCTGATCCCATATAGCAAAGCTCATGCTTGGCAAGAAGGGGACGGGTCAAACCTTTTTGCATCTGGAAAATCACCATCGTGCTCTCCATGCACGGGAGGAAGGAAGGGGAAATAACAATCTGCTCCTCACCATCATTTAGCCCTTATAAACGTAGTTCGGCAGCCTGAATGACAAACTTCTCCAGATCTTTTATAGTAGTTGTCAAGCAAGAAAAGACAAATGTCCTGCTGCTGAGATCCTGAGGAGCTTTGCCTGGAGAGGATGAACATGCTACCTCTTGGTTTTGCCTTCCTCAAAAAGAAAAATATGTGGTGCTAGTGGGGGGAGCAACCAGATCTGGAGGGCCATATGCTGGTTTTGGCTCACTGAAGAAAGCCAGCATCTGGTTCAGCTCTGTTTCAAAACTAAAATTGTTTAAATGGAGCCAAATATTTAAATATTATTTATAATTTTATTTCCTGAATATTAACTATGGTATATGGTAAAATGACTGCTGTACCTGCAATAAAGGCCTTTTAGGGCTTGTGAGCTGCTCAGTCTCTCTGTCAGCGTTTACAGTTATGCAAGCCAACTATTCACTGCATGGCACACAGTTTCAGCTACACATTCATTGCTTAATTAAAAGTACTGCTTTTAAAAGAGCAGTAGGTTCTGCTTTGGTTTTTTTTTTTAGTAACTGCGATAGTAAACTCCATACTAAAATGCTGAGCGCTAAGAAGTAATAAAAATTTATGAAATGCATGCAAACTCAATAAAATATTAGTTAAAAATTCATGATATGGTATGTCATTTTGTGTCAGGATGCACACAAACACTGTTCAGAGGTATTGGGGGGCTGGGAGAAAATAACTCTAACATACTTTGTGGAGCCAATATTCAATGCCAATTTCCACTAATTATCTGGCATTCTCTTTTTTTTAAGTGGGTGAGAGCTTTGTGAAAACTTTTCAGGCTTCTCTCATGAACAGCCTAAGTTTGAAGCTACCTGAATTTCTCCGAAGGGTGTGGTATGTGTGTAGTGTTTGGAAGGCGAATAGAAGACTCAGTGGGATCCTGGTGTTTATCTCACAGAGGGCATGTCAGGCAATCATCTCCAGAACATCTCCAAGATCCCCTTTCCCTCTATAGTGCCAGAACACTGTGGTTAGCCTAAGTGATCCTGGTAATGAGAGCAGGTCTCAAAGCTGTTTATCCCAGAACAAGGATGGCAGCAACAGAAAACAGAGAATGGAAGTTCCTACCAGGTTTGTTTCCAGAGAGGATTGTCCTGGCTGAAGCCCCTAGCTTCAGAAGTAACATCCCATGGCAGAAGCCCATAGGGAGGCAGATGTCTCTCACTGGCTGTGAAAAAATGTCCTCGCAGAGCAGCAGCTCTGCCATACCTTCCTTCCACAAATTTTCCACTGACTAGCTCTGGCAATGCTCTTCTAAATTTTCTGGCTTCTCTGACTCCCATTCATAGGTTCCTAGTTCTCTCGACAACTCTCAACTACCCGTGGGTGGTTTATCCAGGTGGCTGATAAACCATGGATGTTGGGATGCAGAAGCCACTCAGATCTAGCCAAGTTTATTAACTCTTATGTAGTGTTGCTCTGCTGCTGTTTGGGCCAGCTGGGATTCAGGAAAGAAACAGTCACCTCTGTACCAGGCAAGACCAACTTTAGGTACCTGGATATGCATGGAGCCAGACGGTCTCACCCTGCTTTGCCTTCTCTGCCTTGGGGACAAGTAGATGCAACCAGAGAGGTATACAGACCCTCCTGCATGGAGACAGGATCATACCTGAGCCAAGCTGCTGTGAGTCTGGCTGGTCCAAGGGAATCCTGAGGAGTTTCTGGGATGTCTTGGTGCTGGGATCTCAGTGTTTTTGCTGTGCCTGTGTTGATTTTGTTCACCATGTCTCACTTCAGCACCTACGTTTGCAAATCCTGCATGCACTGACCAAGGTTGCAGAGCAAATCAGCACAGCCTGAATTCAGGCCGTCTGCCCCACTGCCCAGGTAAAATGAGTGAGAATCTCACACAGTAACTGGGAGTTCTGTGGGGCTCCCCATAGCGTGCACTGGCATGGGATTCAGCTGAAAGTGTTGCTGTTGCTATATTGTAAATGTAATTTGAAAATTTTAGGGAAAAAAATTATTTTTAACTCTCATTTACTCTCAGTTCTCCTGTTTCCTATATTTTATTTCTCTTTAAAGGACAGGAAGCGTACATTGATCCCAGAGAAAAATACCAATTTAAAATATCAGACTCAGACATGCAGGCCAGAGCAGATGCTGACTACTCATAGAGCAATTGCATCTGGATACATTTAATATTATGTCCTCACATTTTTACGCTCAGTTTTTATGCTTGTCAGCAGATTACTTATTTCCCAAATGTGGTATTTCTGGATTGAACCTGACAGTCGTAGCACAGCGCATGAAATCTCCTTTGGGTGCATGGGATGCTCAAGCCATGTGACCCACAAGTTAGCTTCAAAAAAATAGATTTAGATACAAAAAAAACATATACACAAAATACAGGTATTTCACAGCACATAGCCAGGGAAAGCATAGGTCTGTTTTTATCAATGGGTGTCTGGGCTGCCTTCTGCCTGGATAGCTCAGAAATTTTCTATTTCACCTCGGTACCCAACGGTGACCTCAGTGTTTTCAAGAAGAACAGAACAAATAGCTGATAAAAAAAGGAGTTACAGTAGCCTTACTGAACAAATAAATTGGCAAGTGTATCTAATAATTGCATGGGTTCAGCATTTTTCTGCGATAAATGAGTAAACTTTAAATGTATCTCTGAGATGTGCTATCACAGGCATTGCCATGGGCAAGTTTTATCCAATGATGAAACAGCAAGGCCTTGTGAGATAAAGATGATAGAAGGGGTACTATCAGGTGGCAGCTGGGTAATTACAACTCTCTATTTGGGCTCTGTAGTGATGCTGCATGTGATAAGTGGAGAATAATGAAGAAAAAGGAGTAGTGATAATACAGGAGCTAAATGGTAGAAAATAGCCTATCATAGCCCACAGCCCTCTGAGTGCCTATGGGGACTTTGAACTATCTTCTTCAGTTTTCAACCACAGAAAAAATACTCTCTCTTTCTTCTTCCTTTGCTAAATTTATGTCTGGTGGGACAAAAGGGAAAACTGAAAGGAAATCAAGGGTATGTGAAGAGAATATGACCTTTGCAAATAACACTGAAGGTCACTGTGTAATTATTCTAAAATAAAAGTATCCTGTAATCTTGTCTGTACCCACAAAAGATGTAAGACCATTTTTAATGCGATTCTGAACAAGTTGTTGGGGATCATGGTTTATGAAAGGTCAGCTAAAGTATTTCTAATTATATCTTGTCTAGCTCTTTGATCAGAAGAACACAAATGCCATTTATTGTGATAGAGTCAAACTCTGATTAAAGAGAAAAACTGTCAAAAGACAAACTCATCACATGTAAACAAAAAATCCTATTTCCTGAGTGAAGATTGGCTTTTGTAGCTTTAAAACAAAAACAAACAAACAAACAAACAAACAAACCACAGGAGAAAATACCCTGGAGCTGCTCACTGAAACTTTTACCCCAGTTTGTTCCTTTTTATTTTTTCCCTACAGATAGTAATACTTACTACGGCTCCTGGTGAGCTTGGCACAATTTTCTAGCTATCTGAGTAACTCTCAGTAATTTTTTTATTCTCCTGGGTAAGACAATAACTCCATGACACACCTTTCACTTGGGAATCTGATACCTAAATGCCAGTTACGCTGGATGTCATTTAATGTGGATGTGATTTAGTGTGGATATGATTTAGTTTATAAATCATGCAATTATACAAGAGGAAAATCTATGTAAAATATTTGCTGCTTAAAGATAAGAATTATATTGTTTTGCCTTTTGTTTTTTTACGCTTAGCTAAACAGGTAGAGTAAGAAGTGTATTGTGAATTATTCATGTGTGCTCATGTCCTTTTTCTTCTTAGGACACTGACTCTGCACTACCATAGACCCAGTGTAATGGGGCACCTCATGACACAGAAGGTGATGTTGCATCAGCACACTGGCAGGATGCAGAGTGAGTCTCTGAGGAGCAGAAAGATTCAAAATGAGACTTTTTTTGGTATAGCAAACTGTGATGTTTATTGATCTAAACATTAGTGAGGCCAGTAGTGAAACTAAGGAAATTTTACATAGTGCCTGGATTTGGGAGACTTGTAGCTTGTTGGTAAAACTGAGAAAAATCAAACTCAGTTTTATGGGGAAAAAAATGAACTGAACTCTTGTTCTCATCATGACAGAACCTGACTAGAGTATGACAAAAGCATTTGTACATTACAGAAATAAATGGCATGTAATAAAATATTTACAGCTGAACAGAATGCTGAAATACCACAACTGAATAAACAAGGAAATCCACATACGTGTTAGAAAAAAGCTTTTTTAAAGTATATACCTGATTCCAATGATTTCTGTTATATTATTAAATCATAACATCTGTTCCAAATTTTAAAAAGTTCAAATTGTTACTATGTTTGGTGAGGCACTGAGATGACTCACACCAAGTCCAATCCTTCCTTTGATTTCAGATAAAGGTCTTGGTAAAAAAATAGATCACAAATCAAATTCCTTGGTGGGAAGAATTATTAGGCCATCTCAGCAAAAGTAGTTTCTCATTATTGACTGACTCCTACTGCCCTGGAGTAAGGGAATTTTGTCATTCATTGACCTATGAGGCCTTACTTACATGTAAGCCACTTAGGACTTTGGCCAGGTATGTGAAATGCAACTGTGACCACATGACTCTGCAGTGGTGCCCCGACAGTGAGGTTTCCTGGGATGGGGCTCAACTCACCTACTTCTACACACCTAAAAATTCATCATCTAAGTCTGAGTTAGCCACTCTGATTCTTTTTTTTAGACAATGGGGAGAAACTGGCACCTTCTGAAAGAAAATTAAGCGACCTGTGTCAGACATCCACCTTAAGAAGGGATCAATCACCCTCTGGAAATACCTGTTTCTCCTGATGGAATACACAGGGAGCCTGGGGTGACTGGCTTAGACATTTTACTTTTAGATACTGAAGACAGGTAAAATGAATTTCATCCTGCCTTTCAAGGAGATTTGTGTCCAGTGGGATCAAGACAGGTCTCTATATTTGGACATTTCTTTCATTTTAAATCATGCTAAGTGCTTTCCAAACCGCAAGGATGAATAACATTATCATTCATCTTAGTCAGTCTGGCTTGCACTTCCCTCATTTTTGTCTGCACAAAGCTTACACAGAGGTTTTCAGGTGGCCATGATGACTCCAGTGGTCCTCTGCTCCGTCTCCTAAACCCCATTCTCCATTGATCATTTGTATGGTCACACAGTGAAGCAGACCAGGACACTGACCTGGCTGAAAATTGAGTAGGACAAAAAAAGATGCTGTCTGTTCTGGCTCAAATGACCATACAATTATGTTTGAAGTATGGAAGAGACACCAGAAAAGCAGCATTGGGGCTAGAGACTGCTTCCAAACAGCCTCCATTATATACCTTTCCTTTCCATCATTCATTTTTCTGGAATCAACACTAAAATCCTTACCAAGGCTTCACCATCTTGCCTAGATCCCTATAGTTTTCTTCTCATCACCCATGCTGCTCTTCCTCTCTTGTCTATCCAGCAAAAGCAATCCCTTAGGATGAGCTCCCTCAGTCTATGCCTTCTTTAAGCAATCTACTCACTTTGAGGGGCAGCAGAAAATAACTGCAGAAGTAGTTTGTCAGTCTATGGTTCAAACAGATGTTTGTTGGCAAGGTCCATCATTTCCCAAGACTGAAGATTCACAACTTTTTCTTCACTTATGATGATGATGATGTAATTACTTTCTCTGCAATCACTCTGGCCATTTTGGTCTGCTCTCCCATTGCCCCTCAGGACCCAGATCAAGTTCACAGTTCATAAACATGTATGTAAGCAAAAATGAGGGATCAAGGGGATCAAGCAGTGACTGGGAGGAAAGAGAAGGATGGGAACTCCTTAAATGGATATACTGACTGCAGAATAGATACTCTCTGGCCCTGAAAATCCAGGGCTTTAAAGGCAAAACTGCTACACGGATTGAAGCTTGTATTGGTTAGGGAAACTATTTCTCTTTGAGTAACTAGTTTTGAAGCTTAATATCAAATTGGCCATGACACTGACTGTTGAAATGGTGGAGAGCAAAACTTGGCACTTTCTTGACCTAGAAAGAAATTAGCATTTTATTTCAAATCAAGACCGCACGTACAAAGTGCATTTCCTAGTTGTCTTCACTTGTTGGGTGTTGGTTCACTTGTTTCACATCACACATTGGCATGCATCAGCTGTATTCTTGTTGGAAATACACCAGGAGGTGTTCTCCAGAAGTGCACATGCAGTGTTTCCACTGCTTAGAGGCATTCAGTTTGAAGGCTTGTGCCACAGCTAATCCAGATTCACCCTCTCCGAAACGCACAGAGTGTGGATATGGGGTCCTCAGCACCAACTGTTTTAATCTATCAGACTGCTCCTACTGGTCTAAATTACTTTGCTAACGGAGATGTATCTTATTATTACCCAATATGATAAAAATAATTTCTCTCTGTTTCAAATTTGCCCTCCTGCCGAGACCTCAAAACAAAGTCAGAAATCAATTGCCACTTTGCAAAATGAAACTGGCATCAGAATCAGCCTTTGAGGCAGACAACCAAGACACACTAACAAGGTTTATCTTTGTGGTCCTGATATGATCCCTGTCAAAAATCAGAAGTTTTCCCATGGCTGTTTGTGGTCTTAGACTGCACTCTTACTCACTGATTTCTAGCACCTTAGTTCATAAAATGTACATCCATTATACATCACTTTTATATCTGCATATAGCAGTTTATAGGTATGAAATCCTACTCCTATACACTTTCTCTCTCCTGCTTCCTGACTTCTTCTTTTCCTACCAGTCTTCTTTTACCTCCTGAAATTGCAAAGCCTATCCCAGGGAAATGAAGCCAGAAATTTTCATAATTTTGAAGTGTATTCGCACAGACAGGGAATAATCTCTTCTTCGTGTCCCTGGTAGATAGGACAAGAATTGATGAGCTTAAATTTCTGCAAAGGGGATTTAGGATAGTCGTTAGGAAAAACTTTCTCATTAAGCCTTGGAATAGATTGCCTAGGGAAGATGAAGGATCTCCATCACTGGTGTTTTTTTCAAAAACAGGTTAGACAAGTGTCTGTCAGGAATATCACAGGTATAGTTTATATTGCCTTGAGGGGGTAGAGTGAGTAGATGTCCTCTCAAAACCCTTTCCAGCTTCTTTTTCCTGTGATCTTCCAAGGTATTCTGAATTGCTTATTTATCTATATCAGTGCATCTCAGTATTTCTAATACAATGTTTATCCAAGATTTGAAAATTCCTAATCCTTCAGGACTACAGATCACTCAGAATTATGTGTCTTATTATCCATTGATGCTTGACACTAGTGCAGACACTGCTGGTCAACTACTGACTTTGTTTGGAACACTGTCTCTCACATTTTTTCTTATTCCCAATTTTCCTCATAAAGTGTCATCTGTAGTTGTAAATCAGACATATCACTGAACCTCTATTTAAAATGTTAGTCAAGATGAAAAACCTGTTGATAACAGTATTAAGACCAACTAGCTTATTTATACCACCAAGTTTTGAAACCTTCCTTTTGGTCAACAGGAATACCTTGTCAGCCAGCGGATCCCTAAAACTAACAAACTTGCAATATCAAAACATATTTACCTATTATATACTGAAGAGTAATGGGTGATATGAGGATTTTACACCCAAGAAGATCACACTAACATTACACCACAGACAGAATGATGTTCATTAACAACACAAACACCTGAAACACCTTAAAAACCAAATGTGTTTGGTTTTGTACATTGACGTTGTGTCATGATACAGTGGTCTCGTTTTATTCATTTCTATGTGTTGGTGCAACAGGGTACTTCCTTCCTACTTCTCCCTCCTTATTTCCTTCCTGGTTACCATTCCTTGACTGACTATTTGGTCTTACACGAGTTCATGCCCATGAACTCAACAGCAATCTGGTTTGGGAGATGAGAAAATCTGCCCAAAACTGCCTGCTGAGAATGCAGTGTAGTGCTGGAACTACAGAGGTACATGGCACTGAAGAGCTTCTGTCCCACACAGCATTAATGGAGCAGTTAACCAATAGCCACCATCCTTGTTTTGTGTCCAGCTCTGACACCTGACTGAATTCATGGGTTTTTCCTAAGTCAAAGCTTCCGATTACACTACACTGTGTGATAGGATAGGACTCAATGAGGAGAGCTGCTCTCCACATCTCTGCGAGATATCTCCTATCTTGTTTGAAAGCTGATATTACCCTCTAACTTTGCTGGAGCTATTTTAGTTAAGCTATAATAACTCAATTGGCTAAATCCTTACTAGTGATATGTAGTTAGAGATCACCCAGAGCTGATACTGGGACTGCAGATCTTGTCCTTAAGAAACTTTAAGATCTTTTTTATTTTCTCAGAAATATCAATGGAAAACATAATAAAGCAAAGGATGGGCAGGGACTGATTTGTCAGCAATGACATCAATTCAAATGTGCATCAAAATGCAATGGCCTGACAGAGATGAATGACAAAAACCCAGCTCTCCCACAAAACCTCACATTCTTGCTGTACAACAGGCAATTATTTTGCTTAATCAAATTTTCAGCTAAGCTGCCTACAGTGTCAGGAAGCCACAAAGTCATTTAATAGACAGCAGTTTGAATGGGCTGGAAAGGAAATATTTAAGCTGAACTGATCCTGATGGGATTTCCCAAGCTCAAGAAATTCTCACATAAAAGACATTAGGGGGAGGAAATAAGTTGGCTTTTGAAGGACCAAACTTGCAATTTTTCCCCCCTAGATTTGAAATCAAGTGATATTGGTTGTTTATGCAATGAACTCATTCTACATATTTACAAATAACGTAGAGCTTCAATAATTGCTGTCTATAAATGGATTTCCTCTATTACATTAAGGTCCAAGTCTGAGGAACCTCTCAGATTCTGATTTTCTCAGA